TTTCTATTATTTGAGACATTTATTGGAAGTAAAAAAATTATTATTCATTATTGAAAAATGAATTTCATTGAAAATGGATTAAGACTAAAAAGATAAAAATTAAAAAAAGGTTTTATAAAATAAGCTTTTATTCAAAACTTATAAAATTCTTAATAAGCCAAAAGCAAAAACTAATTTATGGAATATTTTAATGGGAACAAGTGATTAATTAAGCCTCTTTACAATATTCATGCGCATATCATGAATCATAAAAGTGTAGGCATTTAAATAACAAAATCAAACAGTCAAATCACAATGTCAAAACTATGTCAAAGGCATCACACTTTTTTTTATTATTCATGATATAAATTTGTAAATGAATTATGTAAAGAATATTATTTAATCTCTTATTCTGTTTAATCTATATAATAAATTATGGGTACTCTTCTGTTATCGGAACCGGATTGAAATGTATGTATGTATGTGTTCATGTATGCTTGTTTATATATATATATATGTGTATGTAAATTTAAACAAATTTAAATTCTTAACAAATACGTATAAAAGTAAAAAAGCAAATTTAAATTCTAAAAAAAAAAAAAAAAAAAAAAAAAAGCCAAAATAATTATTTAAAAAAAAAAAAAAAAAAAAAAAAAAAAAAAAAAGATGTGCAAACATGTAAAAGATTTAATTCTTGAACTAATCTACAATATCATTTAAATTCAGAAGCATAAGCAAATCAAGTGCAAAATCTATCCATGAAAATAAATCTACTAATTTAATAAATTAAAATTAAATTGAACAATTTTTTAAAAACAATTTTTTAGCCAGTATTTAGTTAAGTTTTGATATACCAATTGAAATCAAGTTCATTAAACTTTTAATATTTTCTTTCATCAAATTTAAGTTTTATTTAATTCCTAAAGGAATTTTTGAGAAATTTCTGGGAATTTTTAGAGGTTTTTTAAGGACTTCATTTCAAAAAAATTTGGGAAATTTTACTTTAAAACTTTAATATTAAAAACATTTCAGTTTTTCTAATTACTTTAATTTTTGCTATTTTCACACAAAAAATCTTTCACTTAATTTTTTTAACAATTTTCACAATTTTTCAACAGAACACACATTTCAAATTACAAACAGTTTACATTTTTTTCACATACCACTTCACTTTAATTTCCTTCAAGCAAACTTAACATCTCTTGATTGGCTTAGTTACTTAACTCCCTAAATAATTTATATTACTACCTTTAGGATTTTTAATTTAATTTAATTTAATTTTTAATATTAATGTTTACAAAAAATTTTTTTACTATAACAAAGTTAGCATGATACTCAACTTTACCTACATAAGCGCCATCTATATAATTTGAAGAACACACTTACTTCTCTTTCACAACATTTTTGCAGACCCCAACACTCATATAGTAGGTAAGTTAGAATTAAAACTTACTATTTACTTAATTAAGACACAATAACACGCCGAATAAATACTGATTCAGAAGTCAAACAACAAAAATCAGCGTTAATTCACAAAATTTTTCACAGGACTAGTTTCGATGGTTTTACCGAACCATCATCTTCAGCTGCAAAACCGAAAAAAAAAAAAAAAAAAAAAAAAAAAAAAAAAAAAATCGGTAAAACATCGAAACTAGTCCTGTGAAAATTTTGTGAATTAACGCTGATTTTGTTGTTTGACTTCTGAATCAGTTACTATTTACTTGCTTTAAGTATTTTTTTTTATATGGTATCTAAGTATTTTCTAAATATGAAATTATATTTTTAAATATATATTTGTTTTTTAAAAATTGTGAATTAGTTCTTTTTGTTTCTTATTGGTTTATATGGATTATGTATAGTTATTTTATAGTTTCTTTTTATTGATATGCATATTCGTGTAGGGGAAGTTTCTGTAGACAAGGGTTTCTAAAATAGAATGGTTTCTAGATTTTATTATTTTATAAAAAAGTTTAATTTTTTAAGAAAAAGTTAATTCTTGACTTTACTTGCTTGTTTCTCAAAAGACTTCATTAGTATTTTTCCTTTTTGAACTTTAAATCTTAAATGTTAATACTTAAATGTTAATTTCTAAGGGTACCACTTTATTGGAATTACTTTTGGTTTTGACTTTTACCTTGCCTGCATGAATGGACGAAACACGAATTGAATGATTGGAGAGTTAGGTTTGGAGGCAACTTCCCCTGATAAGCCTGTCTCCTTCCTACTCAACGGTCATTCACATATGCATTTTTTAAAAAATTGTTTTAATTTAATTTTAATTTATTAAATTAGTAGATTTATTTTCATGGATAGATTTTGCACTTGATTTGCTTATGCTTCTGAATTAAATGATATTGTAGATTAGTTCGAGAATTAAATCTTTTACATGTTTGCACATTTTTTTTTTTTAAAAATTATTTTGGCTTTTTTATTTTTTTAGAATTTAAATTTGTTTTTTTACTTTTATACGTATTTGTTAAGAATTTAAATTTGTTTAAATTAAATTTCATTCCTTGCAGCAATGGCACAAAGAATATTTAATTAAAAATGTATTAAATTTAATTTTTTAATTAAATTCAATTTATTCTTATGAAACAATATATATATATATATGTACTAACGTATGTATGTTTTTACACATATATGCACACAGACACATGTGCATACATACATTCCTGAATCCTTTTGATAGCAGAACAGTATCTAAATTACTTTTCTTTTTTAAATTTCTTAAACAATTTTTAAAACAGAAATTCTTAATTCCTCTTCTATTAACTTTTTAACTGGTAACAAATTTTTTGTTTCTTTAGAACCAGTGTAAGGCCACTATCGTAAAACATCAAGAGTTCTACCTGCGCTATTGAAGGTCATTAAATATTATCGTCAGGCTTGGGACGCTTCTCACCTTAGGCATTTGGGGGTGAAATTAAGAAAAAAATCTGGGCTAGCCCTTCTTGACGTACCTTTTAATTCTAAAAAAAAATGGGCCATTCGGTTTATTATTCCGGGTATATTTAAAATGACATTATTCCACGACAAACCATTAAGGAGCCTGCATAAAAGAACAAGATATTCAAGGTCGAACTGTTAAAGGGTTAACTGCAGTTGACACAAAAATTATATTAACCATATTATATATATAATATAACCAAAGGGATAAAAGCCTACATTACTTATGAACATCATAGTCTGATTCCAATGAGCGTTTATTTTTCAAAAAATACAATATTAAGCACATACATTTGGAAATGAAACTTAATCCGATTTCAATACTTGTATAATTTTAAATTGTTTTGAATTTTAGAAGCTTTAAAACTACTAATAATACATTCCCAAATTTATTTCAGATACTCTCTATTAAGAAATTTTTCATTAAAAATGTTTGTTTATGCATGTCTCTAAACTTCTACTAAAATGTGTCCCCATTTTAATTTCTTAGCGTGGTTCAAAAATACATATATATTTTCAGGTTACTGTTTAAAAACTGAAGTGGCAGTCATTTATGATAAGAAACATAATTTTTTCAAGTACCAGGGTTTCCCCCTTCATAATATTACTTTATGAAGTGTTATTTTTCAGCAGTGTTATTTATAAGGCTTTCCAAACTACTTAATTTTGGGATTAATTTTAATTTGAAAATTTTCTCTGATGGTTTGTTTATCACTATTTCTCTCATCAATTCCATGAATAGATATTTCTATTTTAAACAATACAGTAGATCTGTAAAGTTACAGCAAATTTCTCTAAAAGCAAATTTGAATTAGTATGAATTGTTAAAATTTTATCAAAAAAATACATTTTCTCCATTATTCATAATAATAAAATTTATCAAGGACTAAAAGTTAAACAAAATTGAAATGACAAACGATATATCGAGATGATACTTTCAGTTGTAATCAGATTCAAGTGTTTGCATGAAATCCATGTCAGCCTTCACCACATAGTATTTCGTAATAAAAATAATGGCAAACATAACAAACACAAAAATAACATGTCACACATTCTTATAAGTCAGGTTTCTTTTTTTTAAAGATGACTTTTGCAAGAAAAATCACAAAAAAAAAATTGCACAACAGATAATATTAATTGAAAATGTACTTCAAATTACAAAATCTCTCATTTTTGAAATTAATCCAAATAAATTGCGAAAAAAATTCTAGAACATACATAAAATAATAATAGATAAAAAAAAATGGCAGTTAACAAACTGCCATGTAAATAAATTAAATATTGTGTAAAAATGCTTGTTATATATAAAATATCACCATTACTACTGTATAAAGAAAGTCTGTAAGATAATTTCAACATAATTAACAAGACACTTTTGTCATTAACAAGAAGCATCTTTCATCTAACAACACTGGCTCTATCTTAATCACTATTGCTCATAATCAATAAAATTCTTTCAACATAATGCCAATTATGTTGAAAACTTTTAAATGCTCACAACATAGAAGATAGTACAAGGTTTTGAATTAAAACCTCATATTTATAGTTTAATAAATTTTATTTGGTCCATTGATTTAACTAATATTTTAACACTAACAGCTACGCAAGCTTCATTTCAGCAAATTTTTTGGCTAAATTTATGGCTTCTGGTACAGCTGCAGCATTCGTTCCTGTGGCTTGTGCAGATTCAGGTTTCCCACCACCTTTACCTCCAATTGTTTGTGACACTTGTTGAACCCATTCATTAGCTTTCAGACCCTTAGATGTGGCATTCTATAAAATAATTTTATAAATAAAATCAAGAATTTATTTAGTAAAATAAATTATTATCTATAACATACAGTTTAGGTGAGAAATAATTTATTTCACTTTTCAATTCTTAATAAAATTGTAAACATAAAAAAAAAAAAAAAAAATAAAAGGGGGAGGCAATAAAGCTTCCCTTTTCCAAAAAAACTTTTTATAAATGTACAGATATTCCTCTCTTAAAACCTTTTTACAAGGCCTTGGGAACACTACTTCCTACCTACATGATCTTATGAAATATACTCATGGGAGGTGCAAAACTTACTATAATATATTAGCCTTGCTGCTATAAATGTTGAAAACACTAATTGCCACTTTAGTTTTGTGTTGCCATCTATGGCCAAATGATTTAAATAGAATTAGCACTTTTTTTTTTAAAGTTTGAAAGCACTAAGTGCAATCTGTTCTGCTCAACAGTTCTACTGCAAATGTGAAAAACACATTGTTTTTATTGTAATAACACTTTATTTTGTATATTTCTGCACATTTTGTGCTAGTAATGATCTAATATTGAATAATAAATAATGGGTAAAATATGAAAGTGCTTATTGCACCATATATAAGAACCATGTGCAATATGGATATTTGAAAAATTAGAATATTTAGTTCAAAAATAATATATTTATATAATAAATAAAGAAAAGATTGTTTTTATTGTAACTGTAATTACTTATTTCTTACATTTCTGCACATTTTGTGCCAGTAACTATCTAATTTGGATACTAAATAACATACATAATAGTGAAATGTGAAAATGCTGTTACATCATATATAAAACTAAAATGAAATTTGTACATATGAAAAAATAGAATATTTAGTTTCAAAAATAATAAATTCATATAATAAATAAAGAAAATATTGTTTTTAGTGTAACAGTATTTACTTATTTCTTATATTTTTGCATGTTTTGCACCAGTAATTGTCTAGTAGTGAACATTAAGTAATACAACTAGTTGCAGGCCTTGATTTGATGATACAATAATGAGCTAAACCTGAAAATATCATATAATTCAACTGACAAGGAAAAGAATTGTTTTGGCATGATTTTTATTGAAATAATTTTACAGAACACTGTTGACAATACAAATTGATATGCAAAGCAGCCCAAGAAATGAAAGAGACTGGGCCATAACACAAAAGACATTGTCTTAAACTGGAATTACATCAGATGAGTTGAAAGCATGGACAGGTATGCAAACTCAAGGGTACAAGGTTGGTGTTTGGCAGACTGGATATATTCAGAAATTTATCAAGGAAGGAAAACTTCTGATAATATGGCTAAAAAAATTTTTTTAAGGGAAACAGTAGTTACTAAACTAAAGGAAAATTTGAAACAGCCCATGCTAACTATTTCACATCTTTTAGTCTTGCAAAAAATCTATTTGTAAGTGGTCAATTTTCTGTGGGGACTGTGAGGCCATAAAGGAAGGCTCTTCCATCAATGCTGAAAGCTAATGACAAACTACAAAGAGGTGGATCAGTGTTCCTAACTAAAAAAAGATGTTATTGCAATAAAGTGAATGGACAATAAGGCAGTTACTTTGTTGACTACTGCACATAATCAAGCAATTATGACATCAGTAAATTGGACCAAAAAAAGATCGCACTAAAACAGAAGTACCTTGCACAAAAGCTGTCTCTGTATCATAACAACATCTTATGAAGGGTTCGTTGCTATGATCGAAAAGAAATCAACTATGCCGAAGATCTGTAAAATGGTGGCATAGTATTTTTTTTCTTATTGACCTTGGCATCATAAATTGTTTAGTACTATGGCAAGTGAACAAAAGAAACAGAAGTTTAGACCAGCTCACATTCAGAGAGCATTAGCTCAACTAATAGATGGATATTCCTCAAGAAAAAGGAATGGCTGTCCTGCTAGTTTCCAAGCAAAGAACTGTGCGATACTGGATGATGTGCATTTAACCAGGCTGGGAAATCATATGCAGGAGATGATTTCCAACTATAGCCAATGTAGGAAATGCAGCAAAAAGGCTCAAGAAAAGCGGACTCGCTTCATGTGTGCAGCATGTGATGTTAATGTTCCTTTGCGCACTGCAATATGCTTCTAATCTTTCCATGGCAAATAATTGTCATTAAATTGAATTTTCTCTTTGACCATAAATGGTTACATGGGAAGTATGCTTCCCAGTAGGGATATGTGAATGGTTCCAAGGTATACTGTGGTAGACGCGTTGTATACCACGGAACCATTCACATAATGTATTCATTTAAATGTAAACACAAAATTTTGGGGGGGGGAAATCCCTGAAATGCTATTGTTTAATTGATAATAAAACATAAAAAAGGGGAGGAATTTAAAAAGTGACGGCTCACTTTTTAAATTTAAAAAGGAATTTAAAATAAACAGCTCACAAGAGGTTTAAACATCACCTATATAAAAATATGTACGAAAAAGAATATGTAAAATATTAAATTAGCAGCATAAATTAATTTCCCTTCTCTATTCTAAAAATAGCAACCTCTATTTGCACTGCTTCATTTCGAGAAAAATCTGTCATTCGACTCTTACATAATTCTGATGATGTAAATGGAACTAAATCTCAAGCAGGCAATAATAATTTTACAGCAATATTAACTATTCAATCAAAATACATTAAGAACCAAAACTAACTCAATGTGAATTAGGATTTCACCTTGAACATAATGCATTTGCTTTCCATGCTTTGGCCTAGCTAGACTTCTGTCTGTCTGCTGCTGCTTTCTTGCTACAAAGTTATCAAAAATGTAAGCCTTTTGGAACAGTCACATTTAATGTGCCGACTTGTGTGAAGCCATAACATGTTGCTCAAAATAAAACTGAAGATTAATCTGCCTTCGCCTCCAACTTCTTAGTCATTATGGATCAACACTTCTATGCCATCAAAATTCCTTTTCCTGCTCTTCAGTTACTTCTGAATTTGTTTTTATTACACATATATATATGTAATGACTTGGTGGTATAGACGAATTGTTTATTCCCAAATGTGTACACGGTATGACAAAGCTATGTAGGTATCTTGATTAGAAAATGGTAACATTGTAAAAATTTGGAGAGAGACATAGCCAGAGATGTGAACATAATTTTTCTTTCTTATTAAAGCAAATTCTGAGATGATAATCTGATCCACATATCAGGATAGGTGCAATATGCACCCCACATTTTAAGACAATGTATAATTCTTTGTTTCAGAGAAAGCAAGTGGCAGCAGCGCGTTGGCAAGAGCAATAGCAAAGCGGCTAAAGAAAAGGAAAGAGACTGCACAGCAGTGGTATTTATAGTACAAATTTTCTTCAATCCGATTGGCTGAGAACTATATATAACGCAGAAAGTTAAGATGACATAATACGAAATTAGTTTTCAGGTGTGACACAGTTTTGATAAATTATTGCAATTTTTACTGATTAATTTTTATATAATGGAGCGAATTTTCTTTAAGATAAAGGAATGTTTTAGCACAGTTCGAAAAGGTGAGCTGCCTTTAAACAAGGAATGAAGTCAAAATCGTAAAAACAACCTTGTATTTAGCGTAAGTAAAATGAAACACTCACTCGATTTCGAGGGCAGCTAAAGGTCCCTCCTCATCAGGAGAAAGAAATACCTAGAAAGAAGAAAATAAAGGAGAAGGAGTCTCAGAAACATGTGGTCCTTATCAGCACTGCATGTGGTTAGAACTGCACTGGCCACCTACTTTTACTGAGCCAGGCTATCTGATCAAGCATAAAGGACAAGAAAAATTAGCGAAGTTAAAATAGGGAGCGAGGGGCAAATGCACCTTCACGCTCAAAATCTGAACTTAAAAAAATTCAAAATCTGAACTTCAAAAAAAGGAACGAAGTCTTTTTAGAAGTAACTGCCGAACATCTAATTTGTTCCATTGGATTTGCCCATAAGATGGATATGATAGTATTTAGAGAAAGCTGTCGGGTCTTCCAATTTTGTACCAAATATGGAAATTAGAATATCTTAACACTAATAAAAAGCATAATTTCAGTAAAACTATTTCGTATGATGTTAAATGAATAAAAATTAGTTATATTATAAAAGTTTGAAATCTGTTATGATTATGTGCAATAATTAATGGATGTATTCAAAATTTTTATGTTTAGAAGGTTATCAAACTTAAATTCTCAATTCTGTTTTTCTAAATTTAAAGATCTAACTTAGTGTACAAGATATTCGTAAAACTTGAATGTTACTTTTATATATTGATTCTTTTTATTATAAGTATATATTACAAAGAATTTCATGGTCATAAAAGTAAATAAAAGCTTTTGATTTTTCATATAATACCAAAGGTCAGTTACCTTGTATAAGGAAAAGAGGTTTTTAGGTCCAACTGTATTTAAAAATCCCACAGCAAGTAGTTATGTTGATTTGCTTGTGGAGGACTTGCCCATTTTTTTATTCAATTACTCTATAGTATTTTCTTAATTTCTGTCTAATAATTATTACACTGTTTTTGAATAAGAACATCTGATTTTGTTTCATAATGAATAAATAAGCAGTAATCTTAATAAAATTTCATAGTTATGCACTAGAAACATTTTGATTTTGTATTGATATCAATACTTAGTTTATGTGAAAAATTGTCCCAAGACTGCAAAATTTCTTATGTGATCTTCCAGCCATTTCAAGAACTTCACAAATTTATTTTTAAAGACTTCTAAGATTAATTTACAGAATCACGTTTTATTCCAGTATTTTTAAATTACATCTTGAAGCCATTTATTTGCTTTTTCATTTAAACTGTAAATACTGAACAAAATTTCCCTTCCTTAGCTAATACTATAGAACTTACTAATAGAACTTTTCTCAAAAGGCTTTTCTGCTAAGGGGATATGTACAATATAAAATATCTTACAAAATTTTAATAACAGACATTTGTCCTACAAAATTCTGCATTGCTAAACCTCTTGCACATATGTCATCCAGAACTTAAACAAAGCATTTCCTAGCTATAATA